AAAAGGAAAAATACTGGATGGTTTCATTCATAGAAGGAGCATAAAGGAGGGGAGGTGTTGAATAATAATGAACAACTATATACCAGAGACATTTTACAGGGGTGGAGTGAGGAATGGGATCAAAAATGAGGGGGGGAACGCACTGGACCGTGGTGATGGCACACGGGTGATTTGGCGACGGGAAGCCCACGGGGATGACAACTGAGATGGAAAAAGGCACAAAAATATGTAAAAATAAACGATTATAAAATTGTAAAAAACAATAACTAAAATAAAACCAGCGGTTGCATGTATCTGTGTCTCTGGAACCCTGACAGTCTTGGGACCTCGAGGAGACCGAGGCAGAGGTCTGCAGAGCGCGTGGCGTCTGCAGGCTCCATTCTCCCCGCCAACTGCCCCGTGGCCCCCTGCCCACGCCGGCCGGGGCGAGATATCCTCAAAAGAAATGATTGGAAAATTGCTTCTCATCATAATTACCACAAATAACAAAGGCGAAGCCAACCACAGCAATGACTTAGCAAAGTGAGTCACTCCCGGGCCATCACAGCTCAAGGCCGCCCTCGGCCAGCGGCTCCCACGGATGGATCGTCCCTGCCAGCTCGGGTTATTTAGGGGCCGAGTGAACGTGTCACGAGCTGCTTGCTCTGCGCGCAGCGAACACTGAACACTGTCCCAGCCTCCCGCGGGGCTGCCGATCACCAAGGAGACAGGAGCCGGCTGGCACAGGCGGCAGGCGGCCAGTTTGGGCAGCGCACAGGGCTGGCGGGCGGGCAGGCGGCCGGCCACACCGAGGGGCCGCAGGAGACGGCCCGACCGCCCACGCGGCGGGACGCGGGGGACACGGGACAGTCAGGCGCCACCTCCGAAGCCATTCTGGGGCTCAGCGGCGCTCGTCACGAGAAGACACCCCCAAAACGGCTCCCCCCGCCTTGCCGGGGGTCCACCAGTGCAGACCGGGCTCCCTAGAGCCCCCCACTACCCAGGTGTCTCTGATGTCGATACCCCACGAAACGCATTTTTGTTAAAGGTGTATTTATTGGCGCACGCAGAACTGGGGTGCAGGCCAGAGACAGAGCGGGGAGCAGGACAGGCTGATGGACGAAGCCCACGGCTGAGGGAGCAGCGGGGAGGTGGGAGGGGTCTGCCGCGCCCCGGGGGTCCCCTCCTGGCCGGGATCGAACCCGCGCTGCTGCGGCTGGGAGCCGTCCTGGGAAGTGGCTCGGCGGGGCTGGGGTGGGGTTGGGGGGTGCACAGAGTGGGGTCCCGGAGGACACAGCAAATGCCCGGGCCGTGCTGTGCCCGACGTCCTGGGCGGGTAGGACGCACCTGTGATGCGTCCGGTGGGGGCCGCAGCCGCTTCCTCCAGCTCTATCTGCAGACTGTGCGGGCCGTCCACCCTCTGCCCGGCCACAGCCAGCAGGCCGCGAGTGGACAGCTGCCCACACACCCCACGGCCGGGCAGACCTGTCAGACTGTCCCTGCGGAACGACCTCGGGCCACGAAGCCAGCTGAGGGGTGGCGGGGGGAGAAGGCCAGGGGAGACCAGGGGGGCAGGCTGGGAAATGGCTCAGGAAGGCCCCGGTGGGGGTGGGGGGGCGCCAGAGGCGGGGACCGGGAAGGGGGGGGCCGGCGGCAAGTCACGTGAGACAGGGACCATGCAGCTCATTTGTATACCGGGACCGACAAAGTTGGGGTGCCTGGGGGGCCCGGCCCAGGTCCCCAGTCCAGACCTAAGTCAGCCACACTTGCAGGCCGAGACCAAACGGTTTTCCACAGTGGTTGTACTAGCTTGCATTCCCGCCAGAGTGCAGGCGAGTGCCAGGCAGCCCGAGACCCCAGGGCAGAGCACCCCTGGCGTGGTCGGTGCCCCGTGAGCAGAAGGCAGCAAGCTGGTCACCAGCCGTCCTCCTCCATCCGCCCACGGGAGGGCAGCGGCCAGGCGAGGCCCAGCGGGGCCCCCTACAGAGGGGGGGCCAGATCGAGGCCCCGGTGCCCAGAAAATGGGCCGGGCGAGCGCCTGGACAGAAGTGTCGGTGACGTGAAGCCGGTGGGGGAGCGGCCAAGGCAGGGGGCCGTGGCAGCAGGTCCCCGGGGCCACGTGGACACGGAGGGGCCAGCCGCTCTGGGGGGCAGAACCGGACGGCGGACGGCGCCCCGACAAGGCGAAGCTCACCCGCGATTTTTGTCTCTAACAAGGCGTGAGGATGCCACACGCGCCTCAGAGCCCCCCGAGACTGGAGCTAGGGTGCGCGTTCTTGACTCCCCCACAGCGCCGGGAGTCGAGGACCCCGCCCCCCGCCCCGCGATCCTGTGTGGGCCTCGCGCGGGGGGCTGTCCGCGGGGCGGGGGCCGGGCCGTGACCCTCGGTAGGCCAGAAGCGACTCCCTGGATCCTGTCGAACCTCAGTGTCTGTGCTGGGAAACCGGGGGGCGGGGGGGGGGGTGAGACGGACGCAGGGGAGACCCTATCCACACGGGGGGCGGGGGGGCTCTCGGCCCGCCGCGGGGGAACACCCAAGTTATTTATGGTCTTTCTGAGATTATAGAAGAGGCGGCGGGCAGGCGGGCAGGTGCCAGGGGCCCGCCTCCGGCCGGGCGCAGGTGTTTTCCACTGCTGAGAGGCGAGTCCGACGCGCACCCCACACCAAGCTCACCCCACGACGGGGGCCCGTGTGATTTCTCCCTGGGAGGCAGAACCCCAGCTCCCGGGGGAAGCCCCTGCGCCAGCCCCCCGGGGAGAGAAGGGCAGGATGGGACCCGGGAGGCGGCACCGGCAGCTGGACCCGGCCCAGGCAGGCTCCGAGGAGCCCTGGCAGTGAGCGGCCGCAGGCTGGGCGCCCCTGGGCAGTGC